ATCTATACATCTAGCTCAGACCCCATCCTGAACATTGAACTCCTACATCAAACTCTACATATTTAATTCAAAAGCTTCCAAATCAAACTCATTATCATCTACCCCCTTGACTCAGTTAATGGCCTCATTCACCTGTTCTTCAAGCAAACAGCATTCACTGCCCCAGGTCGATCACCCTCTCCACCCTATCCCACATAACTCACCTCTAAGTGGTGATACCACCATAAGAGTCCCCAATGTGTCCCTGCTCTCTACCCCCAGGGCCCAATGTGAGACCTCATCACCTCTGATCCAAGCTTTTTCCATAGCTTCCCAAACACACTTTATACCATCTTTCTCTTTCTCTGCTAACCCATTCTTCACACTACTGCCAGTTGTCACCGTAGAACACAGTTCTGAGTATGTTTTTCAGAAAACGTTCACTGACTCCACATTACCTGCAAGAGAACTTCAAGTATTCACCAGGACATAAGAATTTGTCCAACTCAGATGTCTGCTGTAGTCCTGGGTCTCCACAAGGTTCCCAGCACCCGTCTATACTCCAGGCAGAAGACTCTTCTCTCTTATTCCCAAATGTGCACCATTTCTCCATCCTTCCTTTGCAGCCTCCCCTCCTGGCCTCACTGCTACATTTCTATAGGTGAGAGTCTACCACTTAAATGTCATCTCCTATTGTGAAAGAAAGCTTCCCTGGCTTTCAGGCCCAAATGAAGCACTTGGAGTGTTTTCTCAATTATTATTACAGTTTATTGAATCCTAGAGACACAAAATGCTAGGTGCTCTACTATGGGAAAGATTCTTTTTCTACTGAAGAGCTGTAGGCTCAGAATCACAGATAGAAAGCCCTGACCTTGACTCCTAAGCCCATTCTCCATGCTATCTCCTTCCAGTGCTCATTGAACATACGTGTTGGTAAGTTCTTACGGCAGCAGTAATGTGATAATGGCTAAGACAAAGTGAGACCCTTCCATGTAACAGCAAGCAGGTCATCTACATTACCTCAAATTCCAAACAACAAATCTGACACAGTTCTTCTTATCCCCATTTCAGCTAAGAAAACTGAGGCTGAAATAAACTTTCTTCCAGTCAACACAACTAGAAAATGGCAGTATGGGCTTAACCCCAGATTCACCCCACCATGGAGTTAAATTTCTTATCCTGGCCGTGACACTGTGCTGACTCACACTATTGGCGTAGTTCACTTTTTACCTCAATCTCTTGCCCAAGTGATTATAGGCATCTGTTTCTAATGCCCCTTCTGCTCACTGGCTGGGATATTCTAACTACAATTGATCTTTGAGCAACACAGTTTTGAACTAACTGTACGAGTCTACCTGTATGTGGACTTTCTTCACTTCTGTCATCCCTGAGACAGCAAAACCAGACCCTCCACTTCCTTCTCCTACTCAACCTACTCAATATGAAGGCAATAAGGATGAGGACCATTTAATGAAGAGTAAATATATTTTCTCTCTTATGATTTCCTTAATAACGTTTTCTTTTCTCTAGCTTACTTTATTGGAAGAATACAGTATACAATACATATAACATACAAAATATGTGTTTATTTTTATTTTAAAGATGTAGAGTATGATTCAGAGTTACAAAATATGTGCTAATTGACAATTTATGTTATTAGCAAGGCAACTGGCCAACAGTAACTTCTTAGTTAAGTTTTGGGGGCATCAAAAATTAAAAATTATATTCATATTTTCTTTCTTTCTTTTCTTTTTTTTTTTTTGAGTTGGAGTCTCACTCTGTTGCCCAGGTTGGGATGCAGTGGCACACTCACAGCCACTCCAGCATCAATCTACTGGGCTCCAGCGATCTTTCTACCTCAGCTTTCCAAGCTTTCCAAGTAGCAGAACTACAGGCATGTGCTACCACACCCGGTTAATATTTTTTTTTATTTATTGTAGAGACAAGGTCTCGCCAAGTTGCCTGGGCTGGTCTCGAACCTGCAGGCTCAGGCAATCCACTCAAAGTGCTGAGACCTCCCAAAGTGCTGAGATTACAGACTGAGTCACTTAGCCCAGCTATATTCACATTTTCAACTGTGTGGGAGTCCAGTGTACCTAATTACCATGTTGTTCAAGGGTCAACTATACTTCATACAGGATTCCCTGATTCTGACAACTTGTTTGGACTATTACATCTGTATTTTGCTTTATCTACCAGATTGAACACCTCCCAGCACTTATTTGGGAGTTTATTTTTCCAACCCCATGTCTATGACCAGATCATATTTTAAAATGTTTCATTTTCCCCATCTGTTATTTCCTGTCACAGATTTTTAAGCCAGGTTCAGTTGTTGTTTTTTTTCTTCTTCCTAATATTGCTATAGAAAAGTCAGTGTTTAATCTCTACTCCCTAAAAGGCAATCTGTTCCCCATCCACCTACATTTTTTCTTTATCCTTATTTTTTGTTTTTGTTTTGTTTGCTTTAGATAAGTATGTCTTTCTATTTATCCTGATTGGCTGCCTGAGTTTCTTGGGATGCTAATTTTTTTTTCTTTCTCTAATGATACAGTTCATCATTTTGGAAAAACTTAGTCATTCGCTCTTCAAATATTGCTTTTGCTCCATTTATTTCTCTTTTCTAAGATTCCAGTCAAATTTGTGTTATGCTTTTTCTATATGTTATCTATATGTAAATTTCTCTTCTGTATTTTTCATCCTTTTGCTTATCCATGCTTTTTTCTGAAAAGATTCTTCTGATTTATCTTCCAGTTCACCATTTCTCTCTTCATCTCTGTCTAATTTCTCAAAAACTCCTTTTGCTGAGGTTTTAATTTTAGTTGTGGTATTTATCAACTCTAAAATTTTTAGTTGTTTCTTTTTCATATTTGCAATCCCATTTAAAAAAATAATTTGCCACACTGGGCTCGGTGGCTCAGCCTATAATCCCACGCCTTTGGGAGGCTGAGGTGAGTGGATTGCCTGAGCCCGCAGGTTCGAGACCCACCTGGGCAGTGAGACCTCATCTCTACAATAAATAAAAAAAAATCAGCCGGGTGTGGTAGCACATGCCTGTAATTCCAGCTACTTGGAAGGCTGAGGTGGAAGGATCGTCAGAGCCCGACAGGTTGAGGCTGTGGTGGCTGGAAGCGGCCACTGCACTCCAGTCTGGGTGACAGAGTGACACTCCAACTCAAAAAAATAAAAAAATAAAAAAATAATTTGCCATTCCTTGCTGAACTTTTCCAGTTTGAATTTCAGTTCCATGAGTTAAGTAATTACCATTGTTTAGCAACATGTGCTTAGTGACTTTAATATCCAACATATAAATGAATTTGTTTCCATTGTTATTCATGCTGAATCTCATTTATGTTACATTGTCTCTTCATGTACATGAATATCTTTGATAGTGTATTGGCTATTATGTATAAGAAATATTGCTAGAAATGAGGTCTGGAAAGATATTATCTCCTGTTAAAAAATATTTTAAATTGCGTTTACTAGATGCCCTGTGCCTAGAAACATTAGCCACATAGGATTCCTTCTTATTATTCCATTGCTTGAGATTTGGGGGGACCACTCATGTGACTTGAAACTTAGATGCAATCTCAGTGAAGTCTGCTTTACTTTCATTTTACCTAGGAGACAAATGGTTTACTAGAACTTCCACCCTCATCAGGACTTGGACTCAAATTTTGGTCCTTTTTATCCTGAGAGGCTCTCAGAAGTGCTGCTAAACCCTTCGGGATCAGTAAGTGCACTCCCAAATACTGGGCTCACACCTCTCTTAGATATTAATTCAGACATTTCACACTACCTGGCAAGTCAGTCATTGCATTTAGAAAGTTGTTTTAAAATGTCATCCAAAATTTTTGAATTGCTTTTGTCAAAAGAGTTGGTCTGAACTCACATTATGAAAAATAGATGGTCTACACTTTAAGTCTGAGTGATGCTTTGTCAACTTAGACCCTGAAGCTACATTTGGAAGGTTAATATACAGTAAAAAAATAAATTAAACTTTTATTAATAGTTTAATCTTCTAAAATAATACTTGAAATCACATCATTAGACTGGACTACTTTGAAAATTGTGAAACAACTTTTGAGATTTTTTGACTTAAATTTGAAAGAAGCTGGCCAGTTGGAGTTTATGTAGGAAACTGTCAGGAAACTAGAACAGAAAGATCCATTGTCCAAGAGAATTTGGTTTATGTTTGAATGAAATGTCTATAAATACAAATAAAAGATGGGAAAGCTCTTGTTAGAACATCAGGTGGTCAATAAATTTAAATTAAAGAGAAAACCTCATTTACTCTTACACTAAGCACAAAGCATTAGTTTCAGGTAAGAATGCATTAGAGTTGTTGGTTATAGCAGAAATTTTTGTCATCTAGCCAACTAATAGTCATATCCCATCTCCTCCCCTCCTATCTCCTAACCTAAATCTGTCCTTTTACAACACTAATTTGTTCAAGTAGCAACTCAAGATAACCTGACCTCAAGAAAAGCAGAACCCTTTGAGAATCCCAGAGGTTTAGTAATAACTGACCTAAACTAGCTATTCCACTATACTTTCCTGATATCCTTTTCTAGCCAATTCTGGTTAGTGACATCAAGGGGACTTTTGTGGAAATTTTGCTTTTCTTATTAAAAGAAACACACACAAAACAGAAATAGTGAACACTATTCCTTCTTCCTTTTTCCCAATGTAGATAGAAAAAAAAACACTCATATAGAAGGCTCAGGGAAAATAAACTATTGTAGTCATGTTTTGACCATGAAGTGATAACACAATGAAAAGCCAACACCCAACAATGGTAGAGCGGACACTGAGTTCCAGAAGAAACCTTGAGATTATCTACTTCCTGATTTGTTTTTAGGTTAAAAAAAAAGGCCTTATGTTTTAAGTTGCCAACGGTTCAGTTTTGTATCATTTGATGTGGAAAATATTCGTAAGTAATACGTTGACTAAATGTGTTCATATATGGCAATGTTCTGACCCAGGTTTGACTGGATACAATGCTTGAAATGTTTATCACTTACCATAATACAAGAGTCCTGAGGTTCAAGATCAAAGTCAGTGAAGTTCAAGACAACATGGTGATTTCTGTCAACTCGAATGACCCAAGAACAATCAGTGTTACTTCTATAAGGTCTGGGATAATTTGGAGAATGAATCTCTCCATTGGGAGCCTGGTAAATTCCACCACAACCTGTAAGTGGGAAACACAATTCAACCGTGAGAGGAATCATGGATGCATTATACTGTATCATCACCTGGTAGTATGGATAAATTTGTTACTTAGCTTGACCATTAGTTTTATTTAGTCTATGACAAACTGAATATCCACATAAATTTACTTATCCCAATAGAAATAAGAAAGATGGCATGGGCAATACTAAGAAAATGCTTCAATAACTATAAATACTGATGCCAGACATTATTTTTTTAAAAAAACAAAAAATAAGTGCAAATGAAATCACATTTTCACAAAGTCAAGAAATGCTTCTTTGTTATTCTCTAAAAATACAGCATACTTTAAGAATAAACATAACCTTCCAAGAATTTTGATAATCTAGTAGCACGTGCTTTTACAAAGAATTTAATATCTGCCTTTTAAAAAATTAACTTTCTGGATGTAGTACAGATACTTGGATGTTCTTTTCTTTTATCAAAAACCTGTTCGTGCAAAATCTATCTCTATGACCCATCGTTTCTTGGATTTATGATGATGTAAACCAATAATAGAAAAATCCACCACTATTTTCTAGTAATTTTGAATCACTTGGGGGTAATCTAAACACCAATATGTCCACATGTATTAGAATTCCTACGTAATTAATTTTAGGAGAGATCTCTCATATAGTTACTACATTACCATGTAGTGAAAGAAGTGGGGCCATAAGGCAGCCTGAGATCACATATGTGCTTTTACATTATCTAGCTGTAGGACTTTGGGGCAAGTCACTAACTTCTCTGGGGCAAGTTTCGGTGCCCTCATTAGTAAAAATGAGTATATGAAACAAACTTCCTTCATAGGGTGGTTGTAAGGATTAAATGAGATAATACTTAGAAAAGTGTCCGGCAAAAAGTCTTTCATAAATGTGGCTATTAATAGTCATTATATACGTTAACATCTGTTAAAATATTTTGTGTCACAGTTTGTCACTTTAAAAGTGTGCAACAGGTAATTTATTTATACTACCTAAGATCTTAGGCAGAAAACACACATAAAACACACAGTGTGGAAATCATACATTTAATGCTTGCAGTTTGGGCATTTGCCAAGAACCCAAAGGTCTACACTACAGCATGAGGTCATCTGCCACTCATTGATGCCTAAATTGGAGGCTGGGGAATATGGGCAAGCCCCTTGGAGTGAGTGAGTCTAAACAGTCACCCTCATTCTGCCCTCCCTATGGTCTTGCAACCTTGTTTTCACAAATGTGGTGACCTTTCGGGAGGTAAACTCTATTCCATGTTTTAGGGATGTGTATACCTCAAAGCAGTATTAGCCATTTGGGAAGTCACTATGTTATCAGTCAGGGTATTAAAGAATTTAATATCTGCCTTTTAAAAAATTCACTTTCTGGATGTAGTACATGAATCCTTCATGCCTTTCTCCAAACATTTCATGAACCTTAACGAGGGCTCAACTTAAGTGCGTTACGATACCTCCTTTGTTCACTCACCTCCAGGGACTGCTTGCCATGAGACATTAAAACCTCTCCCATTTATGGAACTGTCGGTCTTAAATCGGATTGCTAGCTCATTTCCAGTGCTGGAGACCTGCATGGGGTTCTCAGATGACATTTGGGCACACAACTGGGCTATTCTGGGAGAGTGGAAATCAGGGCCTCCGTAGATCTAAGATGTAGACAAAAAGACTCAAATTAAGAGAAATATTGAAACAATTACAGTCCCTCCTCCTGGCTCCTTTTCACCACCAGCTCTTGGATTCTTTTATGATTAGAGAAGGAAATCTCAGCCTCCCTGGGTGGGGATGAACTATCAATTTGAGCTGAGTTTTCAAAGGCAATCCCTCTGCCTGAGAACACATAAGTTCAATCACCCATGAAATGCCTGCTGGTTTCCTCAGTCAGAATTGTAGAGGTGGACTGAGTAGATTATTTCAGAAACTTCCCTATCTCCTCTTTTTTTTTTTTTCGCATCTTCATGGAATTGCCTGCCTTCTCTGGTGAAGACATTGCAGATGTTAAAGTTTTAAATCTGATTTTCTAGGCCAGGTGTGGTGGCTCATGCCAGTAATCCCAACTTTTCAGGAGGCAGAGGCAGGAGGATCGCTTGAGCCCAGGAGTTTGGGACCAGCCTGGGCAGCATAGCAAAACCTCGTCTCTAAAAATAAAAATAAAAGTCTGATTTCCTAACTCTGATTTCCTAACGGGCACATGTGAGCAGTCTTAGCATACAGCCTTTTTGCCATTTTATTTATTAAAGTTGAGTTCATTGACTTCCCAATTATATGGGAATACAAAAAAATGTACATACACTTTAAGAGATGTTATCTATGTATTACTTTTGAAGTTGAATTAAATTATGGTAGCAATGTGTAGTATGACGTTCGCTCAACCGTGCTTCCTCCATTTTCTTTGAGCATCCTGCCTATCGCATGGCGACACTAGCATTCATTTGATTAACACTACGTTTTGAGTGAACGTCATATTTAAAATGTGTATAAATTTCTTTGGCACCCCCTGTATTTTTAGGAATTTCTACCTACCTTGCAAACTGAATATTTTCTAAGCCTAGGCCCTGAATGTAATGTTTTTGCATCTCCTGAGGGAGTGGAGCTACAAGCTTTCTAAGTATGCCGTGGAGCATCCTAAGAAGAGGATGCTCTGGGCGTGGTAGCTCATGCCTGAAATTCCAGCACTTTGGGAGGCCGAAGTGAGAGGATTGTCTGACCCCACGGGATCAGACCAGCCCTGGGCAACTTGGAGAGACTTCATCTCTACAATAAATCAAGAAAAATTAGCTGGGCATGGTGGCGAGTGCCTATAGTTCCAGCTACTTGGAAGGTTGAGGCAGAAGGATCACCTGAGTCCAGTAGGTCTAGGCTGCAGTGGCCGTAAGCATGCCACTGCACTTCAGCCTGGGAAACAGAGTGAGACTCCAACTCAAAAAAAAAAAAAAAATTTAAAAGAAGAGAATGCTAGAGTGCCTCCCAGCACCCACTCCAACATGTCCACGCCCCGGAATCCGACTAAGAGCATCCGACTTCTGCTCAGGAATCACCTTAGATTCTGTCCCAGTCTCTGGATGGCACCCTCCAGATCCATCACACTTGACTTGAGGCCTCCGAGGCTCCTTCAAATCTGTCAAACTATCTGTCTGACTGGGATCCAATGCCCGCATGACACATTCCTCCAGTAAGGGTTCCCTTGGTCTCACATACAGCATCCTGCAGACAAGCCGAGGCCAGGCCCAGCCCAGCTTCCAGGAGGCCTCACACACAGGTTTCTCAATCTCCCCTGGGCCCTGCTTAGGTCGTGCGTGTATGTGTGGGGGTGGGGGAGGGGAAGAACGTGGGGAGGGTGGTGAGGGGAAGATACGAATCAAACAAAAGATACTGACCCCTCATCTTCAGATGTCGTCAAACTTGAATTTGTAGAAGAAAGATCATTTTGGGTGACAGTGTTCAGAGCCCTTTACAACTGCACCCCATGACCTTCCATGCATAGGCACTCAGGGCAAGGGCCAGGAGAGCAGCTCTCAGTGCGACCTGGGCACAGCGCCCTCCCACCTCTCAGAGCATCTGTGCCCGTCGTCTCCCACCTCTGGGCCACTCTCCTCTCATTCCTCTGGGCCCTGGGCCCTTGCCCACCCTCAAGCCCACTGTGGACGGATAGGAGAATCACTCAAGTGTTTTTGGGGGAGAGTGAGTGAGAACAAGAAGCCTACTTTTGGGGAGGAGTATGTGATCTGAATCTATAATGATTCCTTTGTCTGGTTAATTCCCCCCAGCCATGCGGGAAAGGCCAACATGAATGAAACTGCTGTTCCACAGAGTGCTGAGCTCAAGGACAGTAATTGCAAAGGAATGAAGAAGGCTGACTGCTTCAGGCTTATTTTCATTAGGAGGAGCTGATGTTTGCGTGGCCCCCCAAGTCCCATCAAAAGCAGGACTCTAGGAAGAGCCCTGTGTGGCCCTTGACACGTACACATATGCAAATGGCAGAAACAAGCTTGCTTGTTGTTTAGAGCAGCTCTTTCCCCGTTTGCAAGGTTTCCCTGCCCCCTCACACAGGGCACCGTCCCCAGAGCATGAAACCGGCAGCATGCATGCTCGTCATTCAAGCCCCATAAACAGCACGTATTTGGACAGAACACTGGGCACAAGTGTTAAGTGCTAACAAAGAAAACTCGCACGTCGGCAAAATATTCTTTGTTTTCTCTGCTCATGCATCCCCTTGAGATCACAAACATAATGGGTATGGATTTGGCGGGGCCTAGAAGCCTCCAGAAGAATGAACACTGCCACTTTGGACATTATTTGCTTCCCCTCTTACAGGGCTGAGCTTAAAAACGGACATCACAGAGAGACCAGATTGAGCTAACTGCCCGCACCAAGCAATTGTCCCAGTTTATTGCACCAAGGAGTAGATTTCCTTTCCTGCTTGATGCCAATTCTGGATCTCTCTACAGAGATTTCTCAGAGATTGAAGTAAAATCAGACAGAGTGTTTCCAAAACCAAAACAATAGAATGATACTTTTGGCTCCCACAAACAAAACCAATCGTTAGCACATGACTCTGCAAAAGAGGAAAAAGACGGAAAGAATTTCAGGGTGTGGTTCTTTCGACTACAGCATATGACTAAACTTTGGGGGGAAAAGGATTGGTCTGATGACCAGAGATTAAAAAATGTGTTTTTAGCAAATGCCCAGGATGGAGAACATTTCAAAGCCTATGGTTTTAATCTGTTTTGAACATTTCTTTCTGCTCTGTTAGTTCCATTTATCGTTCCAATCAAGTCAGCATTCCGGGGTTATGAGTAACCAAACGGCTGTTGCTTTATGCAACTGGCCACTCTCTGGACACTGCTCTTTGAGGGGAAAAAAATGGCTCCTGGTCAAACTTCATGAGACTCAAGTAAGCCCAATACCTGCTGACAGTAAGATCCCACTCAGCTGCACTCAAAAGAACAGGAACAACGAATGTGCAAGCTGAGAAAGTCAACGACATTTTTAGATCATACTCCCTCTCCAGGGTAACACATTTTGAAACCTACTGATAACCTGGTGTCAACAGCTAGAAAATAAGGAATGGGAAAAAAAAGTCATTCCATCCTCACCAGCCCACATGTATTACAGCACATTCCATCTGAGTTGAGCATTTGCAGAGAGGTGAAATAAGGCTTTTGAACAAAAAGTCAGAGTGTTGTTCATTTCTGTCTTAAGAAAAAACTTAGCCAAAATATTGAAGGGCCTCGAAATATTCCCCTAAGCCCTGCTATTGACGAAACAATGGAGGCCACTGCAATGTCAGCTTGTTGTAATAAAAGCAAGCCCCAAGGAGACTCCTCCATCTTCTGGAAGCCATTTTTGTCAAACACAGGACACTCTTTGAGCCCTGTTTGCTGCCTGGAGTCCCAGATCTTGTCCCTCAAGTCTCAAGTCTGCTTGCAGGGGACAGCCTCTGTCTTTGCTTTCTCACGTAATGGGTGTGACAAAACCCCAAGCACAATGAACCCATTTACATCTTGCCAAGTGGGCAACGATCACACGCGCTTTGGGATATGAAAATGAAGGGTTTGGAACATTGCACATCACCGCAGAAGACCCACTGCCAGCCCTCTGTAAGTGTTAAGGGGTTTTATGCAACCAAGCAATATCCTTGCTGGCCAGAAGGGCCATTTGGACATTCCACGTGTGAATGTTATCCTACTTCTCACTGCGACTGTGAATTTCAGGAGGCACTTTGTTCTTCACACTCAAAAACCCACTCCTCCTCTGAGATGGTTCATGACTTGGCAGAGGTACTTCCTTGAAGATGAGGGTTGGGTTGTCCCAAGGATGTGCTAGCTTTATCTCTGGTTTCAGTGCCTGTGGTATTGTCCACTACTACATGTGATTGCTAGTGACTCTCACTCACCGAGGAAGGGGCAATTTTAGAACCCTGTTTCTTTTCAAGGAAAGAATTTGTTTTGTAACTAAACAGTTAGTAAGTGTTAAAGTGTCCTGTAAAGTACATTCTACTCTGTTCAGCCCTTGTGCACTACACATATCTATGGTTTACATGGAGTGCTGAGCAGTGGTTGGGTTCAGTTCTTAGCTCTTTCATTCACTCTCCATAAGGTAATAGGAAAACTCATTAATCTTTTTTTTTTTTTTTTTTTTGAGTTGGAATCTCACTCTGTTGCCCAGACTGGAGTGCAGTGGCCGCTCCCGGCCACCACAGCCTCGACCTCCTGGGCTCCGGCGATCCTTCCGCCTCAGCCTTCCAAGTAGCTGGAACTACAGGTGCGCGCTACCACGTTCGGCTGATTTTTTGATTTTTTGTAGAGGTGAGGTCTCGCCAAGTTGCCCAGGCGGGTCTCGAACCCACGGGCTCAGGCAATTCACTCACCTCAGCCTCCCAGAGGCACAGGATTACAGGTGAGCCACCGAGCCTAGCTCATTAATTTTTTTTAACTTTGGTTTTGACAACTGTAAAATGGAAATATCAAAATTATCCTCCTATTTCCTGGGATTATTTAACTTTTTTTTTTTTGAGTCATAGTCTCACTCTTTTGCCCAGGCTGGAGTGCAGTGGCACACTCACGACCACCGCAGCCTCGATCTGCTGGGCTCAGGTGATCCGTCCGCCTCAGCCTTCCAAGTAGCTAGAACTATAGGTATGCACTACCATGCCTGGCTTATTTTTCATACAATGTAAAGACAAGGTCTCACCAAGTTGCCCAGGCTGGTCTCGAACCCCTGGGCTCAGGCAATCCTCTCACCTCAGCTTCCCAAAGTGCTGGGATTACAGGTTTGAGCCACCGCACCCAGTCTATTTAACATTTAAATGAGAACATTAATACAAAATTATTTTGTAAACCACCCGAAATGTGCATTGCTTCAATCAGAGATTTAAATGTTTTCATTCATTCCACAAACATCTATTGAGTGTTTAAAGTTTGCCTGGTACTCTGTGGCACTAGGGATATAGCAGTAAAGCAAAACAAAACACCCAGCATCATGGGATTTAAGATTGACCGGACAGAGAATCCTTGTCATAAAGTGCTAACACGTTCCCTATAATTGAGTTGATAGGGTTTTTTTTGAGTTGGTGTCTCACTCTTGTCGCCCAAGCTGGAGTGCAGTGACACACTCACGGCCACCAAAGGCTAGACCTGCTGGGTTTAGGAGATCCTTCCACCTCAGTCTTCCAAGTAGGTGGAAGTACAGACGCATGTCACCACGTCTGGCTAGTTTTTGTGATTTATTGTAGAGACGAGGTCTCACCAAGTTGCCCAGGATGGTCTCGAACTCCCAGGCTCTCAGGCAATCCTCTTGCCTCTGCCTCCCAAAGTGCTGGGATTATAGGCTGAGCCAGCGTGCCTGGCCGATAGGATTTTTGCATGTACTTAGAAGCCATTAAAGTTTACAGACAGGTCAAAGTTCAAAGTCCTAAACAATATATGTAATAAATAAAATATAAAAATCAGAATCTATATAATAAAACAATCATAGAATATAATCATAGAATATATTATTATAATTTTATATAAATTATAATAAATTATATGTGTATATCTCCTAATGACTAGATTTCTAAAATAAATGTTGATTATAATCAACTTTTGTGCCCAAGATTTTGTTTTTGTTTTTTTTTTGAGTTGGAGTCTCATTCTGTCACCCAGACTGGAGTGCAGTGGCTGCTCCTGGCCACTGCAGCCTCAACCTGCTGGGCTCCAGCGATCCTTCCGCCTCGGCCTTCCAAGTAGCCTTCCAAGTAGCTATAGGCATGCGCTACCACATCCGGCTAATTTCCAAGATTTTCAAAGACTAACTTTTTTTTTTTTGTAGAGATGAGGTCTCGTTATGCTGCCCAGGCTGGTCTCAAACTCCAGGGCTCAAGCAACCCTCCTGCCTTGGCCTCCCAAAGTGCTGCGATTACAGGCATGGGCCTCTGCACTCAGCCTCAAAGATTGTCTTAATGATCTGAGATACACCCTTTGCAGCAGCTTTGGAGTAGTTTTCACCTTCAAATGTGTCACACTATCTACGTGACCTTTTTTGTTTTTTTGAGTCAGAGTCCCACTCTGTCGCACAGACTGGAGTGCAGTGGCCGCTCCCGGCCACCGCAGCCTTGACCTGCTGGGCTCCGGCGATCCTTCCACCTCAGCCTTCCAAGTAGCTGGAACTACAGGTGCGCGCTACCACACCTGGCTTATTTTTTAAAATTTATTGTAAAGATGAGGTCTCACCAAGCTGCCCGGGCTGGTCTCAAACTCCCAGGCTCAAGCAATCCTCTCGTCTTGGCCTCCCAAAGTGCTGGATTACTGGCTGAGCCACCATGCCAAGTCATGACCATTTTTTTTAAAAAGCCATCTGCAGTAAATGAACTGTGGTGTCTCTCCTTAGACTGCAGTGCAGCTCTGGTGGACAGTCCCTATGACTGTTGCCAGCCAAACGCTTGTTCTAAGAATCTTTCTCAGAATGAAAGTGCGTGGTGTTAATGTTACCCAGCATAATCCTCATCAATGGGGACTAAAGTTGGGGGCTCAATACTTCAGGTCCTACAGAGGGGTGATCCTCAGAGAGTCCCATGGGACTGAGCCCAAGTCACCCCCCAGAGGCCTCCATGGGCTCTCCCTCCTCTTCTCCTCCACTCACTCTGTACCCTTCTCCTGCTTCCTAGCATCACCTCCTGACTAAACTGCAGCCAAGGCCCTCAGGCCCTGCTTTAGGAAAATCCAAACTAGGAGATTAATCCCATATGTCTACCAACATTATTCACAAAGGGCTGATACTCAATAAATTTCTAAGAATAGAACACGGCCAGCCACTGGAAAGAATTAGGGATCTTGGCAGAATGATTTCCAGTTTTGGAATATGCTGGAAAACAACGTCACTTCCTACCTCCAGGACGTCGAAGTTGCATCTCGTATGATACTCCACATTGAAATCATGGATGGTGAGCTGAATGCTACTTCCAGGGGTCGTCCGAATGTACCAGATGCACTCCTTGTTGGGTGGGTACCTGTTAGGATACCCGGGGCTACTGAAGGAGCCCAAGGCTCCAGACATCTCCCCACCACAGCCTGTGAAAAGAGCAAGTCTCCATCAACTCCAAGTGGCCGGCAGCAAATGGGAAAAATTCAAATATTCAACTCACTGAAAGGCCACTGAAAATAGACAAGGTCTAATTTAGGAGAAAATAGTTCATTTAGATCAAACCTATAATTGTGCAATGTTATATAACAATGAAAAAAAAATCACGACTACAACTTATTCAGTTTATTCTTTTAAAAAAACACTGATGGCAGGACTTGGTGGCTCAGCCTGTAATCCCAGCACTTTGGGAGGCCGAGGTAAGTAGATTGCCTGAGCTCGCGGGTTCGAGACCAGCCCAGGCAACTTGGCGAGACCTCATCCCTACAATAAATCAAAAAATACAGCTGGGCATGGTAATGCATGCCCATAGTTCCAGCTACTTGCAAGGCTGAAGCAGAAGGATCGCTGGAGCCCAGCAGGTCACACTGGGATGGCCATGAGTGTGCCACTGCACTCCAGCCTGGGCGATAGAGTGAGACTCCAACTCCAACTCCAAAA